GGTTCTGCACGTCTATTGTACAACTCTGTTTTATTTTGAACTTCAAAAGGCATGCAATAGAAAGGTGCTAGAGATAAGTTAGATGCCAGCAAGAAACAACATTGATGGAAAAACTTGAAAAAACTTTAAAAATGCGTGGAGCACACATGAAAGCAGAAATAAGGATTTCACCTAAACAAATGTCAGAAATGATTTAGGGAGTCTTTAATGAAGTGAAAAAACACTTTGCAAAAACGCCGACGGCGGGGAGCAAACCCGCGCCGTACGCCTTTGAAGCGAGACCACCACCACTATGCCACGTCGGCACTTGATATCGAAGCGATGAGTTCGCATATCCAAATAATACTACTGTCAAGCAAATTTCCAGCCCCCATAACTTTTTAAGGAGAACCACTTAGCAGTTTTAATTTCCATTTTCGTAAATAGCATTCAAAACTCTATCGATTTATCTAGGTCTCCATTCAAAGTCCCACGGTAAGTAGACTACCCCTCCCTGGTAAGTGCTTTACCTTGATAGCTGCGGCTGTTGCGCGCCGCTCTAACGTTATTTTTATGCACCGCATACCCTTCTTTATCTACGTCTTAGTTAGAGTTTTCATGAATTAGGAAAATATTAAAATTATAATTTTTCCAGGTACTTCGCTGCTGATCTCAATGCTGACCCGAAGATCTTTTTACAATCAGCTGTTATAACCCTGACACCCAACGAAACGAAGTAAGGTTTAAGGGAACGAGCAATATAACACCTCATTTGTGAAGGTCTATACAAAATTTTTTAGTCCATCGTCTGTTATGAATCTACGTTATTACGCCCAAAAGGAAGCAGACAGCGAATGTGTTGGCCCACGTGAAGGAACGGCAATACTATTACCAAATTCCACTCTGGACGTCACCATAGAGTATCGTTACACCTTGGTACCCCAGTTCCGTAACACAATGAATTGTGAGTGGACCTAAATAAATAATATTCAAATTCACTAGGGTAGTGCTTGGGAGATAAACGGTATGAACAACCTTCACCAAGGTTTCTGGCAGAAGTCGAATGTAAAGCTCAATTCAGATGAAAATCTGACGGTCGTCAATAGACTACCTTCTCCATGAGTAAGTTTGACTTATTTCAGTCAAGTACCAAGTACTCTACATCGACAACCAACGAGCTGCTCTATATTGGTGCTATAGAAGAGCTGAAAATGGCAGCTGTATACAGCATGACGTCAACTTCATGATAAGGTTTAGGAAACTTTCTAATTTTTCGAAAAACCTCGACGGCTCTACGAAATCTTTTTTGCTAGGTCTCGTCATTTCTCGTACAACGATCTCTCTATGATGCTACCATATCTAGAAAAAGTCTGCATTGAAAAGGACAACCTTCGGTGGTTTGACCTTCATTGTCAGTTTGATTTTATTTATTAATCCCTTGCGTTCGATTTGCATTATCGAAAATATGTTCCAAGCCAAGTTTTGCGGAAGGTAAGTTTTGTCAGGCAGTGATAAGTAATGTTAGGCGGCATCGCTACCAGAGACTCATTTCGTGGCTCGAATTTTTGAATAAATTTCAAGTAAGTTCTCGCACTCCTCTTCCCCACGCTTTTGGTAGGAGGAAGTAGGCATAAAATCAGTGTAAGAGAATCTGACCATTGACGTGCCCATAAAAATGGTTTGCCCTTGGAGTTGGATGACGAAATCATTATAAATTCCGTCTATCAATTTCTACCATGGTTTTTTACCGGTCTGGTGCGTCGCGCATTTAATTCAAAAAGAAATCTGTCAATGCTTCCCGTTCCCTTTTCTTGACTCGTAAGTGAGCCATGAGAGATTATGCTCAAGGTCCGGGACACTGCCGCTCACCTCCACGATGTATAGTAAAATCATACGCGTGGCTCGACCTGTAGAGATTGTCAGCAACTCTATTCATTGTGCTCCAACTCTTTGAAAAAAGCCAGCTATTCGGACCATCCTTTCCAGCTAATCTATTTTGATTTTTTCTGCTCAAATTAGGGGCCAATCATGACCAGCCTTTTGAAGAGTTGCGCCATGCATCCATTCACAGTCTTCATCCATCGCAGCCAAATCGAATGTCTATCTAGCCTATTCATTCAATCATAACACCAATTCCACATTGAACAGCCCAATATCCTCATTCTTCCTTATAAGCCCGGTACTGTTTTATCCATCACGAAAGGGGAAGGCTCCCTCAACGTAGACAGGGCTAGGTATTGGATCCAACTTAATCATCATCCATGGTATCAACGCTACTTCCCTTTGCTTCACTGCTTTGCTTGTGAAATGTGTTTCCACATTCCCTAGCTAAGTTTAGGAGTATTCTTCCAGCTCAATGTGGCAGTGAAATGTCGGCGTCAACAAGACTCAGACGTGATCTGGTCACGCTGTCCCACTACGATGTTCTACATATCCTCACAAACGTTCAGGAACCGAAATGCCTTGCACATGAAGTCAGTGGCGTTCAGGCGGATCTTGCTGCGGTAAGCTTTTTTTCTGTGGAGGTCCCTCTGGGAAAGTGGGGTTCACTCCTATAGCCAGACGACCAACACATTTATGCTGTCCTTTGACGACAGCCATAAACGCTACCACTGGGATCTACTGCTGTATGGGACGGAAGAGTTAAGGCCCGCTGTCGGTTGTAAAAGTGTCAGAGAGCTGTAAATCTTCGAAGCGTTGAATGAAAGATGCTTTTACGTATTTCATTGATATCCTTGGAGAAAGCATTGCCACTTCGAGCACTTGGGCTTTGCTCCGAACAAGAGAAACCTTTTTCACCAGGCTATTTCTCCCTGGTCGTGAAGATGATGACTTGATGCTCCCGAGATATTGAGAACATCTGGACTTAGCCTGGCATTAAAAACCGAGCTACTTGCCATTTATATGCCATTTACAATTCTGAATGGGCCTTTACAACCTCTGAGTTTGGGATTTTCAGATCGAGAAAGCTGGCACGTGGTTTCTGATGGCAAGGTTTGATGAGATGGCTTTGGATACCTACGCTATGGTAATGCGACTCACCGCAGTTTCAGAAACAGCGGCAGTTCTACGATTGTTTCAATCCGCGTTGGTTATTTCCTTGTTTTTGTCAGCTGGCTTGCATTTCGACTCCATGAGATTCCTTGAGCCCTGGAAAAATCAAAAAATAAGAAGTATTTTATTCAAAAATCCCCGGTAACATCTGGAATAAATCCGAAAGTCCGGTAGTCCGATGGTATCAAGAAACCATGTCTGTTTGACTTAAAATCAGGATATATTTAGTTTTTTTTTTCAGAGAATTCATCCGAGTTCTGACTAGGTTTTGTATTTCCACGCTAGGAAATCCGTAGCCTTACGAAAATTGGGCAGGCATTCGAGTTCCTCATTTCAAAATGTCTCCTGAGCAGTCTCCTAGAAGGGAGGGTTGGCAACTCTCTTTAGCCATAGATGAAATCATCTAGAAAAGATCACAGGGACCATCACAATTCATAGCTTTAGCCTCTCTCAGGGTCTCATAGGGCCTGACTTCAAGCACTATGTAGAATTCGGAACAGGACAGTTCTGAAACCAGATTCTCTAATACCTGAGGCTCTGTACGATTTCAGAGCTCTACCCGGTGAACCATTGGATTGTTTTACCCGAGTTTTCACTGTGAAAGAAGTACAAAATGGCACTGATTACTACTATGAACTGCATTTCGAGTCATCAACCAAAAATTCCACAACCAGTGCGTTTACCTTTTTTGAATCGATTTTCTTCTAAAATTTTTGCCTAGTCGTGATCTTAAATCATAATGAAATGACTTTTTGAAGCATCTCTGATTTTCTGTCGTAACAGTAGTGCAACAGGAGGAATCGCAGAGCTTTTGCTCTTGATTGCAGGAGTGTGAGTGACAGAATGGTTAGTAAACTATTAATGGGAGTTAATATTGCTCCTAAATCGTTACTGGTGCTGTGGCAGCAAGCATAAGAGCACCAGAACGGGAATGGCTGGGTTGGAGGAAATAGAGGAGCAAAAGAAATAGAATGACTTTGGATAAAGAAGGGTCGAAGTTTTACCGTCATGGGCTAGGACTAGGGGATGCACAATTATAGAAACGTGGACATTTTCCGGACAGGTACGTTTGTCCTACCCCTCGTTTATCCACACTCCTTTCAATGCGGAGCGAGCCCACGCATTTCTTCATAGACAGAGCCATCAATACATAGAAAAGTAGTCATGAAGCCAGATTCGTGAAACCATAAATGGAGTATAGAAGCCATAATGTAATAATGGCATTGTTTTTCGATGTCTTGAATATTGAGTACATACAGAGCTTTTTGTAAGGAGATTAAGTATGGTTATAAGGATGATATACGAGTTATCTGAATCTCTATTTTCCAAAAACATACGATGAAAATGTCCAATTATCTCCACTACCCGAAACTAGTCGCAGTTCCAAATTGATAATTTCACGATGTTCCTGAGAAGGATTGTTATCATCCTAACAGGTATTTATATTTCAAGAAGGCAATCGCTTGAATAAAGGCGCTGGAGGCGCTGGCCCTGTAAAGATTCATTGGTGAGAGTTCATCGGAGCCACATAGCACCCCACCTTCCTCCACCTTTCTATTAAGTATTCCATCAAACTTTCATTTTTGGTTCTTCTTCCCATTTCAATGATGGGACTAGTTGCTCGATCGCAAGTGGTGCTTCCACTACCTTTCCGATCAGGGCAATGAGATACTGCATCCACGCTCAAAAGCCGCTTAGACCAAATGATTTCTCCAGAGGTTGCTTCATGGGAACTGAATTAGTTTGTGAAGAGAAAAACTAACTCACATGCAGAATCACATGAAGATGAGTCGGGTTAAGGCAGAGAACACATCCAAACACCACAGCGATTTTATGCGGGTGTCGAGGTCATGGCTCTTCTGGACAAGACAACTAGTTTGTCCGAAGGATTCGCCTAAACTTGAAAATTACTCCTCATAAGAACTTTCGAAGAAGTATCAAACCCTCAAACAAAACTGCGTTTTCTAAGAAATGAAGGCTTATCGAAGAATCATAAATAAAGCTGTCCTGAAGTAGAGAGGATAATAAAATGTAATATGAAGTCATTAATCAACATGGTCTTTATTCGAAGCAGTTGAAATTGAACCGAAGGAAACAAAATGTCCCGAAGAGGTGAAAGGCGACGGTTCCAAATCAATTGGCTATGATGGTAAGACCGATCACACCGAGTCACGCACCCTCCCCCCTCTTGTTCATCTCCCATCAAGGCATCCGCGTATCATCAAAAAATCACCTAAAGGAACATTACTGGTTGTCATCTTATATTGTAGTCATACTTGTTCTGTTACTCAATTTTTACTCTGTTCCTACCATTTGATCGCAAGCATCAATCACTCGTGATCTCAAGAAATCGAAGCTGGAGGGGGCTTTGATGGATCAATTGGGACGTCCAGACGACTATTCGAAGTGAAACCAATGATGTGCGGAAAACTCGTTAGATTGTAGGGGAAGTGTTAAGCCCTAGGCGTCCACTAAGCACCTTGGAATGCGCCACATGACTGATTTCTTCTGAAAACGGCGGCGACGGTGCGATCACAGCGGATCAGGCGAATGGAACTCTTTTTTCGGTAAAGGTTCTAGAGTAATCGTTGAGAGCCTCAAAGTTAATCAGATGGTTTCCTGTGTCGAGGGCAGAGATGGCGTAGCGCTAAGTGGCACATTCCCACTTGAATGATCTGAGGATCGAGTACCAGAACGATACCCGCCTTGGCCAAAGAATCTTTTATACCTCCGAAATTACCTGGAAGTGTGGCTCAAACTCAGACTGGTACATATACCCGCTCTAAGTCACTACATGGGCCAAATACGCATCTAAATGCCACTACGATTTCGAATAGGGGCTGAATGAATGAGCGCGTTCCATACAGGATTGAAAGCATCGGAATTATTGTCCCGGTTCACTCCCGGGAAAGCGTTGCACTTTGCAGGTGTGTGCTAGCACTTATGCAACCATCGCGATCCTGGGAATATGGTCGTCCAGTATCAGAAATTCGACGTCCCCATTCCCACGTTCCGAGTAGCATTTTTTTTTTGAGAAGCTCTTCAATGAAGTCCAAGGAACCTTGCATGGGCGCCACGGTGCAGGTATGAGTACCGCCCGACGTTGAACATATGTTTCGTTCATATCCAGAGTCTCTCCAGTAGGACCATTCGTCCTAGACACAGCTTCTGATGGCGTTTCTGCTCGTCCTTGTTGGAACTGTGTGGGATTTTGAATCTCTGCTGTTTGCATGTCCCCAGTAGCACCATCAGTTGAAAATTCATGTTTGGCAAAAGTGCGAGCGTAGTCGTCCGGGCTGAACGAACCATTTCTATGCATGAATTCTCGTTCCCCATGATGTGCTATGCCAATTGATTTTTCCCGTCCACTGACTTTTCCACGAATGCAACAATGTTGTTTCAAATGGCGGCAACTGGGAATAACCTGCACAAGAAGACGACATTCAACTCTGAGCTTAACTGACAGAATGTAATTGAGCGTATTATAGCCGAACTCAGTGTTGCGTGAATCGAATCGCACTTGTCGTTGAATAGGAACGTCTTTAGTACGAGAAAATTAGATTGGGTCGCTGAGACGTTCAGAGGAGTCACGAAAAGATCATACTGGTAAACAACACGGGTAAAGAAAAGCTCAAGAAATCTGCCTTGGGTACGTTCCGAGTTAAGCCGTGCATTTGGAATCCACCACATATTGTAGCGGCTTTTGAGTGCCCATTTGATCCACTCAATGGCAAACGTGAACCAATGAAAGCTTAAAATCAAGTTTTACACTAGGGCATATAGGATATTTGATGCAAAACAAGCCTAAAAGGCTAGAACTAAATTAATTTGCTGGGAGTGGATCCTACAGACTACGCAACTGCTTAGCCGCTAGTATAGCCAGTACATTGTCTCCAATGAGTTTGATGTTTTCTTATAATGTCACCCTCTGCTCGCCTGTTTCACTCACTACTTATTTTTAAGACTTGTATCATAATTTATTTGTAATCATAACTATCACTACCCCGAAACTCTCCAGAGGTAGAAGCAAATTTTTCAAAGAAAATTTCTTCTTAGGAATTGAAAAAAAGTTAAAAATCAGACCTATCTCATTTTAGACGTCAAAAATCAGAAAATCTCGAAAAAACTCACATTTTTCACTCGAAATCCCTCTAATAAAACATTGTGGTGGAAACAGAGATTACTTATAATGTTGAATAAAAAGCCTAGTGCAGTAGGGAAAAATGCAAAACTCAAGCCCCGTAGGGGACTCGAACCCCTGACCGTTAGATTAAAAGTCTAACGCTCTACCAACTGAGCTAACGAGGCTCCAACGGAGAAACTGCGAGGAGTTGTTTATAAAGTGGGAAAGGTATGAAGGAAGCAGATCTGGTAGAAGTTCAAAGTATGTTTTACTCCTCTCGAACTTATATCTACTTGTAAGTAAGTCACCCATGACACCCATTTTCTACGAGTCAGTTGACAAAGTTCTCATGGGCGACTTCCTTTCGATTACTTCAGTGGGAGTCATTGCCCTATTACAATACACTACTACTCGGTAAAATTTCAGTGATATTCCGTTTTCTATTCTTCAACCGTCATGTTGGTGTACTGTATTCGTGCCTGAGTATATCGGCAGATGGCAGATGTAAAGAGCGTGCAATCTACGTGATTTCCCGACATGAAACAATCGATCATGCCGAACTGATAGTGTTGGAGAAGGTGGCCAATGCCGTCTGTGTCGATCCACAGGTTCTCTATCACACCGCCACTTTTGGTCAGTTTAAATCGTATTTTTTATCGAACTTTTTAGAAAAAAAGTACTTTTGCTGCGGCTATCGTTGAGAGAGGGGGCAGCAATTTTAGCCAATTACATTTTAAATAATTTACAATTTCGGTGTGACTTAGCGCAAACTTGTCAGGCGTTCAATAAAAGTGCAACTCTGAGCGCGATGCATTGGAAATGACAGACGTCGGACGAGGTTCACCGAGGACATAGTGAAAACGGACAAAAAACTGGCGCAGGCTGCTAGTCGGGTGGAAAATTTGACATTAAATCAAATGCAAGTAGCTGAAAAAGTAGACACACAAGCAGTTCTGCAACTTCACGAAGCTCGAGTGTTTGGTGCTGCACAAAATTGCGAAACTCATGAAGAAGCGGTGAAAATACGGCACGTCGTGAACAGAAACATCTCATCGAAATGCGCCATGCTTTTGACTTCCATTGGGAGTCGTTAAGACAAGTAAATAAGTGAAAAACATTGACAACAACATTCATAAAAGTAATATTTTTTGTCATTACCGCAATTTCGCTCCTACCACTCGAAAAAATGTTTTGAGATCAACTGGATATTTCTAAAAAGGGAAAATAGAGAGAAAAATGATCAGACAGTTGCTACATCAGATAGGGGACAGGTCTAGAAAGTGAGGGTATTTGAATTAATCTAGAACTGCAGATCTATTACCCTCTACAGACTGCCCCAGCTTTTTCCATCGATATCCGTTGGGCCCTATCTCAGGATCCCAGTTACATTCGGGAAGTTCCTGCCTCGGCATTCTCGAATGATGACTGGGACACAACCGTTGCAATAATCCAGCAGATTTGATTAGCTTTTATTGCCATCATTAGAATAAGTGAAGCTTATTCTGAGGGAACGATGCCATAAATACTTTTGATTACAAGTATGAGCTTAAGAGAAAGGAAATGCCTAGTTTCTCCCTTCACTGAAAAAGTGATCAAGAAATATGGCTGCAATAATTTTAAGTAATTCAAACATTTTTTTAGTACTTCACGAGGAATTTTCGAACTTGAACTAGCCAAGAAAGACTGAAT